GTTCTGTTGCCGATTATTTGTATTTGTAGTACGTGGGTGAAGCATTCAACCCGTCCTCGACTCAAGTCCATTACATTCAGCGGTCGACCCCACAGACGCATTCATAAATTTTAACATGCTGTTCATTCAAAACGGGGATTTTCTCAAGTATAAATTAATATTATAATAGCATATTGTGTATATATAGGCATAGGTTAGGTTAGGTCAGCTGTTTAGGTTCTGTTGGTGATTATTTGTAGTACGTGGGTGAAGCCTTTACAGCGTTGTGGTTCGAACAAAATTCGTCAGTAAAGCACTTGTTCCGGATATGTTCGAACGTCAGCAGTTGAGTCGTGTGTAAACCGCTTTTCATTCATAAATAAGGGGTTTGGCGGGTGCGTGGAATCACTTTTGGATCTTTGTTTGGAGGACGGGCTGAAGCATTTATTGCGTTGTAGTTCGAACAACAGTCGTCAGCGAAGCACTTATTCCGTAAGTGTTCGGACGTCATCAGTTGTGAGTCGTGTGTAAACCTCTTTTCATTCATAAACCAGCCCGTTCTCCAAGCAAAGACCCAAAAGTGATTCCATGCACCCGCCAAACCCCCTGTTTATGAATGAAAAACTGTTTACATACGATTCACAACTGTTGACGTTCGAACACTTCCGGAATAAGTGCTTCACTGACGACTTTTGTTCGAACCACAACGCTGTAAAGGCTTCACCCACGTACTACAAATACAAATAATCGCCAACAGAACCTAAACACCTAACCTAACCTATGCCTATATATGCACAATATGCTAATATATTATAATATTAATTTATACTCGAGAAAATTCGCGTTTTGAATGAACAGCATGTTAAAAAAATTATGAATGCGTCTGTGGGGTCGATTTCGGGCGACTCTTTTAATACTAATTTTCCCAAAAATACGACATGCCAAATAGTTTAACACCCAGGTACCCATTCACTGCTGAGTGAACAGAGGCTACAGTTATGGATTGGCGCCAAGTAAATCCTCCCAGGCCAGGATACGAACCCAGGCCAAAGTGCTTGCGAATCGCCAAGCGAGTGTTTTACCACTACACCACAGGAACTGCTAATTTATGTCATATCTGTTTATCATGCCATTTGTGAGAGTTAAAGAGTATAATTTGTCCCAAGACTGACCCTTGTCACATTCCACTTCTCACTTGTAACGATTTTGATGCATTTCCGTTAATTAAGGACCCCCCCCCCTGTTGTTTGCGTCCAGATGCCCAAGTATTCCAACCTACTTGGCACCTATTGTATGCAACTTGAGACGCGCGGCTGTATAAACTATCAGGAAAAGTTGTTGGTACATTTTAGCACCTATGGTAACAGTGGCTAAGTGTTAAAACTCTGCAGAATATTATAACTTTGGCACATTACAAATTATAAATAGAATAGGGAGAGAAAAGGTCCGGGTATCTATGTAGTCGAATTAGCGAAAAGATTCGGCTAGTCAGAGTTCTGTTTACACATTGAATTTGATTACATTACAAGAAAATATTTATTCGTAGAATTCACTCGGAACAAAATGTGTGAGCTCTGCAAAGGAAAATTTAGAGGAGACATAAATCTCCAGTAAAACCCAGAATGTGTGTGGAGGCGAGCGAGGGGGCACTAAACAGCGTCGGCTCGTGAAGCAGTCGGAGGGCGGCTCAGGGGAATACTCTTGTATTAGCACAACACCGGGAATCTCCTCCCTGTTACCACATAATGGCGCCACCAAGACCTCCTTATAATTACCACACGCCCACTATGGTTTAATACACCTTTTTACGGCTCTCATCTTGGGGGATTTTGTTCTCGGTATATTTCAATTCTCAGTATTTTGTCGAACATATCCTCGACCCGGATTCATAAAGCTGTTACGCAAGTATTTACGAACGTGTACATCTTTCCACAATTTTTGACGGCTTTGGTTACATTTATTAAACAGTTTACAAGATAACTTCCCAATCAACTGTTGTTATAAACAGCCTCTTGGTGCTTCGGAGCTCATTAACTGTTTAGTAATTGTAAACAAAGCCGCCGAAGATTGAGAAAAGATGTATAGGTTCGTAAGTGCTTGCGTAACTGCTTTATGAATCCGGATCCAGTTTTTCAACGAGATATCCTGTCCCTATCACAATGCATGTTGTCTTTTCTCCTAGAGGATGGACTTTTTCACCTGGCCAACTGAAGTATTCTTTTGTTTACGATTTAACTGTTATTGGTGATGATTTTCATCGATTACAACATTTAATAATTTCAGTGAATTATTATGATTTTATAATAATATATTGTCATTGTAAACATTAACATAAAGAACACGTGCAAAGGTACGAGTTTAAAGTTACGTACCGAAGGGGGAAGACAGTACACCACCTCAGGCTATGCATTTCCAAGCTGCATCCATATCCAAAATCCTATTTGTAATGGTTTTCCGTACTGTGTGATATCTATATTTTATGATATGTATTAATACTCTGTTTGCATAGCTCGACCTTGGCTAATTTACGTGGTTTGGTTCTCTTGGTAATTATTTTTATTGACAATTTTTGGGGGAAGGAATCATTCAACCAGTTCTCAGGCAATGTTCGTCCAAGCGGCGACCATTCCCAAAGTTGTATTCAGAAATTTGTCCATACTGTGTAATCAAAGGAGTTTTCTCAAACATAAATGTATATAATGTAGTTTTGTATATATTTAGGCCTGGGGAAGGTTAGGTGTTTGGGTTCTAGTTGCAGGTGTTTGTATATACAGTACATATATGAAAGATTTAGGAAGGTGAGATTTGACTAAAGTCAGAGAAGCATTGTTCGAGAAAAGCTCGAGTAGAAGTGATTGCGACTTACGAAAGAAATTACCCGGTAACATAATAGACGCGGGATTTCTGGATTTCTGAAGCGTAGCTTGGATATATGTGCGAGTCAGTTTGGGTGGATAAGAGCTGCCTCCTGTGAGCAAACAGGCCTTAAGCAGGTTGTTATTATTATGTTCATTTGAACAATGTTTATGAGAATGGTCTGGATTCAATTTAACCATTTACAAATAACGCGATAATTGTCTACCTTACTACAGTAAGGTAGACAATTGAAGTACAGCATAAAAGGATGGTGTGGCCATTTTGTTTCTCTAACCCGACTCTCGACCATCTTAAACATTTAATGTCGAGTAAGTTTGTTGGCTCCACCTGGAGTTGGGGATATCAGCAGCCAGCCCTTACAACTGGCTCAAATGTTTATCAATCCAGCAGCCGTCCCTCTGTTTAAATATGTCAAACACTTTGTACGTGATAACGTAATGTTAAAATATTGTTAAAAGGCTTTGCTTCCTTATGTTCCAAGCGCGCCTCTAAATGCTTCACCCATGTATCATAAATACAAAGCTAATAAGAACAAAACATCTAACGTATCTTACACTAGGCCTAAGAACACACAAAATTATAATATAAGAATATATTTTTTTTATAATAACGTTTAAGAAAATTCTTTTTTTGAATTAGTACTGAAAATTATCCAATGCACATTTGTCGATGACAGCAGTTCGAACGAGCATAATCTGAGTATGGGTTGGTCACCAGTCTTGTGCCACCGAATCTATAATCTAGAATAACTGGTCTTTATACGTGGGGGTAATAACCTTCAATAACCTGGGGCCAGATTCACGAAAGCACTTACGAACCTGTACATCTTTTCTCAATGTTTGGCGGCTTTGTTTCCAATTATTTAACAGTTAATGAGCTCCGAAGCACCAGGAGGCTGTTTATAACAATAACAACAGTTGAATGGCAAGTTTTCATGCTTGTAAACTGTTTAATAAATGTAACCAAAGCCGTCAAAGTTTGAGGAAAGATGTACACGTTCGTAAGTGCTTTCGTGAATCTGACCCCTGGTTGTGGATAGTTAGTGTGGCGGTGACCACCCGCACATCATAACCCCGTGCGGGTTATGACCTCGGGTGGCGGTGGCGCCCCCTGGCGGAGCTCTGCACGGCTGGTCTGTTCGTCATGGCCGCCGTTGTCCTTGTCTTCAGTTTTATATCTCCCTCGTACTTTGTGTGTTGTTTTTGTCATTCAGTGGTGTGCTTGAGTGTTATTGGTGGGTGTGACCTTTGGTGCTCTTCTCCATCCCGTCATCCTTATCCTCCTTTCCCTCACCCTTACAACTTGTCCATTTTCTCTCCACGTTATCGTCCATTTTCTCTCCACGTTCTCGTCCATTTCCCCTCCACGTTATCGTCCATTTCCCGTCCGCGTTCTCGTCCATTCCCCTTCTGCCTCTCCCTTTCATTCCGTTTCATATGAAGGGAACACATTTGACTGGGCTGTGTATACCGTGTACCAATGTTATAACCAATATAACAATTATCTTTTGACAGCAAATTGACAAAAATATTTGTGATTGTTAATTGTTCATATTTATTTACAATGTAACTATCACATTTATTGTCTTACCCGAGGTGATTATTGAGAAGTTTTATTGATAGATAAGCAAGTAGTATCTATTCCAGCATGACGTTTTGGTTATGTAGTGTGAATAAAGCAATATAAGAAGTATTGCATAATGTTGACATATTGAATGGCGGTCATAACTGCACAGAAAGTTGATTTTAATAATGATAATTGATACAGGCAGAGCAGGTAGAGACACCGAGTGGGATTGGTTATTTTTGCAAGTGTTGAGTCGGTCACCAGGCCAGGTGTGGTGGTGAACCTCACCTCTCCCCCAGGGGTGATGAGTTGCCCTGAGCCGCTCGTGTTGTGGTGTGGGAGGTCTGGAGTAGCGAGTGGCACAGGAGTAGATAGTTAGGCTGCACTGGATTAACTCCAGTGCTGCCTAACTCCACCTGTGAGACATTTACAGTGTGGAAATTGACGACAGAGAGAGGTGTACAACAGTGAATGCATCTCTAGTGGGGTCGATGGCTATCATAAATATATCTTGCGGTGTGAGGGAGAACGGGGCGTGTCGGTGAGCAACGAGTGAGGTGTCTATCTTATTGTTGCAGAGTGACAATGTCGTCCGTGAAGGTGGCGGTGAGGGTGCGGCCCTTCAACAACCGCGAGATCTCCCGCGAGTGCAAGTGCATCATCGAAATGGGAGGCAACACCACAAGTAAGTCTTTGCTAAGTCTCCCCTCACTAATGGTTTCTAGCTTTAACGTTAGGTTATTATTTGTCCTGACACAGATTTGTTCTCATTCATAATTGGCTGTTTCAATATTATGTAGCTGATATCTGGTAAATCTATCATTTTCTGGTCTTAGACCCTTGCGATTGTCACCACTGAACTACATCTGCCAAGCTTTTTCATTCATTTTTATTCTATATTTCGCCTTGTAGCAGTATTGATTCTTATTAATTTATTTCTGTTAATAAAATTTTTTAATTTTTTTTAAGTTTGCAAATTTTTTCATCCCCATGTGTAAATTGTTTATATACACGGTAAACAACAGGAGCCCAGAGCTGACTCCTGGGGCACTCCACTTGAAACGATTTCCCGGTCAGGTTAGTCTCCATTTATGCCTTCACGGTTACCTTCGAAATAACCGCACCTTGTCCAACATAAGGTAACAACCCCCTCCCACCCCCAAATACCATGCGCCATCTGCCTGGTTAACCAGCCTATCGTGAGGCACAGTTCCAAAGGCTTTGCTAAAGTGAAAGTATATAATGTTGCACTTTTTCCCACAATCAACTGCTCCAAGAATGCTGGAATCTTCAAGATTCCAGCATTCCAGCTCCAAGAATGCTCCAAGAATCTATCGGAGGAAATTTGTTAAGCACGAGCGGGCCTTAGTAAAGCCGTGTTGTAAGCCCTTCAATAATAAGATATATCCCCCCCCCTCACTACCAAGCTCGTTAACGTAATAGTTCAACCGATTCCTTGCCAAAGTTGAAAAAGAGTCCTGGGAAATTTCAGGCAACGAAGCTAATTGCACCAAGGCAGGTCACGACGGTTGACTTTGCATATTCCTTTGCATATTTACATTGGTATGTGTTTTTTTATGTTTGTAGGTAACTTTGGCTCTGTAATTTGTTACAAATAATTTATAACTCTGAAAGCTAGGAATTATGTATAAATGTTGCCTGTGAAAAGTGATCTTATTTATTTCGCAACAATTAGGTGTTTACATGCTTCCTTGGTTACAAAATATGCGTTGCCATAGTCTTGGCGAGACTTGCAGAACTAAAAATTATTGTCGTTAACATCTGTTGCCAGTATGGCTGCCATGTGGATTCAACTGTACTGTTTTATGCAGGTGTAACACTTCATTTATATATATATATATATATATATATATATATATATATATATATATATATATATATATATATATATATATATATATGTCGTACCTAGTAGCCAGAACGCACTTCTCAGCCTACTATGCAAGGCCCGATTTGCCTAATAAGCCAAGTTTTCCTGAATTAATATATTTTTTTCTATTTTTTTTCTTATGAAATGATAAAGCTACCCATTTCATTATGTATGAGGTCAATTTTGTTTTATTGTAGTTAAAATTAACGTAGATATATGACCGAACCTAACCAACCCTACCTAACCTATCTTCATAGGTTAGGTTAGGTTGGGTTAGGTTGCCGAAAAAGGTAAGTTTGGTTAGGTTAGGTAGGTTAGGTAGTCGAAAAAACATTAATTCATGAAAACTTGGCTTATTAGGCAAATCGGGCCTTGAATAGTAGGCTGAGAAGTGCGTTCTGGCTATTAGGTACGACATATAATATATATATATATATATATATATATATATATATATATATATATATATATATATATATATATATATATATATATATATATATATATATATATAATATGAGAGTAGTGGGTGTGCCTGCGTGACTCAGGGGCCGCTCCCCGCCATGCCTCACGCCTGAGTCACCCCAACCCCTCACCCAGCCGCAGCAGAAACTCTGCGGAAACATCCTGCCATGTTTTACTTACCATGCTCTCCGTCTGTCATGGGGAAACACGCTTTGCAGCGCCATCTTGGTGACATTATCTTTCTGAGAGTCAGTGTTGTGTAATAGTATTATTGTGACGGTGAATAAGTTTGTTTCAATATTGCATATGATATTTTGAAATAGTGTTTGAAATTGAAAGAGGCATCACTGTTCATTATGTAATTGTATTATTCGATCGTCATCGACTTTACAAGGGGCCTTACAATTACTGTCGTTCACGCGTTGGTCAGTCGACAGAAGAGGGAAATCACATCCTATGTATACATTGGTACTAAATGGTACTGAGAGTAGTGAGGAGTAGGCCAAGCGGGGTGTGTGTATCTGTGTGTCGTGTCGTGTCGTGTCGTGTCGTGTCGTGTGTGTGTGTGTGTGTGTGTGTGTGTGTGTGTGTGTGTGTGTGTGTGTGTGTGTGTGTGTGTGTGTGGGGGGGGGGGGGGTACTCGACCAGGGAGATGTGGAGCACATCTCCCTGGTCGAGTACCAAGAGACGACACCTAAACATCTTACAATTTTTGCCATTTCAAGTGAACCAGGCGACAGGTTGTGAAATTTGCCTCGTGACACACATACTAGAGCGTTTGAAAACCCTCAAATTTCGCCTGTCACTTTAAACAAAAAAGTTCATTATTTTCTCAGTGACCAAAGCAATAAAGATGTATTTTTTAAGTCATTCCCTTAACACGGGCTGCGAAAGTTATCAAACATAATAATGAAAATACAAGCAATAACTGGCAAAGTATTAATGGGAATATTGATTAATACTAATAAAAAAGCTTTATTATTACCAATAAGAATGGCAGTATGATAGTAAACTAGGCAGTATGTCAGTATTTTAGGTAGTATGTGACTAACCTGTGTAGAAAGGTTATGCTGTAACGTTATAAGAAAGGAAGTAATGCCAACTTAATTTTGAACGAGCTAATTCTCTTTGAATAGCCACATGTAAGCCATTATATGAATATAAATTTTTTGGTAAATGCCCTATGAAAAAAAGTTAACGATTAATAGTCATATTTAGATTAAATCAATTTGTAAAGTTAATTTTAAAACAAAAACATTTGTATTATGTATAATCAATTTAACATTTGCAATCAATGTGCAGGTTAAATTTAAAAAAACACGCACATATCTAGTTTTTCTGCAAAATTGACAGCTGCAAAAAAAAAACTCATACAAGAGTAGTCAATCCCAGTTCAGTGATAATACAAGAAGTCATGAGAGAGTAATCAGTGATAAAGATCGTTAATACTAATTATTAACATTTATCAAAGAGGCGCACAACTTATGAATCGGTGTTTCCTCTCAAACATCGGTGGTCACAACCAATTATGTAAATGTGACTGGGATTATATCATATACGTGCTTAATGCTTTATTTCATATAATTGCACAATGTTGGTAATCTCATTGGGAGGTTGTTCTGGTAACGTGAACATACTGGAGGCGTGGCAGGAAGGCTTCTAACAAGGATGAGAATTTTTCTGACAGAAAAAAAGGAGGGGAACAGTGATCAGAGGCAATGTATCGGACTGGAGAAATGTCACTATATGGTTTCAGCGATGGAAGATAGTGTGTAGTGAAGATGTGGTCTGCGTCACCCGGAACAACGCAAGGTGCCCCGTCTAAGCGTGTGCGTGCACCTACCTCATAGTTTGAGTGTCAGGGGAACACTGGACAATTTACAAATGAAGGGGGGGGGGGAGTAAATAGTGTGAGACAGTCAATAGAAGTACGACTTTATTTTATTCGGTGTTAATAATAAAAAGAGAGAAGATGGTACTGATATTGGTGAGGAGATCTCTATATATAAGTGGGCTGTCACAGGTATGTGTACTGTTCCGTCAGCAAAATGTGTGGGCGCGCGCACTTGGGTCTGATTCCTACCGCTTGTATTGTTGCGGCCCCACACTGTTGTAGCATAGTATGGCTCTTGTACATTACCTTCCCTTGCTTTATGTGACCACGTTCTCCGCACTCGTCCCTGGCAGTCTCTTGCCAGGGACGTAACTTCATCACATGGACCGACGGGGCCATCGATCCTGCCCTCCAGTGACTGCATGACCCTAGTCGGTAATGATCTGCCTATTGATTGTCGGGCCTCGCTGGACAGCATGTCTCCCCCTCCCCTCAGAGATGACGCGTGTCACCTCCCAAGAACTGGACGATTCAAAACCAGATGCAGGGAAAAGAGAGAGCATACCGGCCATGATGCTTGACAAACACATGAGGGGTATGAAGCCCCTAACAGTTTCGTCTTTCTCCTCACATTCAGCCTTAAGACAAGCGCCATAAGACGCTCAACTGACCTCCAGATCATAGAAGCCGGTCATACCTTACCCTGCACGGCCACGTCAAGGTACCGGCGATGACGGGCTTCACTTTGGGTAAATCATGCGCTTCTGTTGCAGGGCTTTTGTCTCATGGCTTACATTCCTATTGAGGAGTCCCAGTCAAACTTTTATTTCTAACCCAAAAATTAGTTCAGGTGCGTTATATATATAAATAAATGTTAATCTGACATTATCATTGCTCTTCATATTAATAAGTTAATGATTTCATCTTGGGTGAGGCACCACATACGTGATGTAAGGATGTGTAAAGTAATAAGTGAGAGAGAGAGAGAGAGCGAGAGCGAGAGAGCGCGAGAGAGCGCGAGAGAGCGCGAGAGAGCGCGAGAGAGCGCGAGAGAGCGCGAGAGAGCGCGAGAGAGCGCGAGAGAGCGCGAGAGAGCGCGAGAGAGCGCGAGAGAGCGCGAGAGAGCGCGAGAGAGCGCGAGAGAGCGCAAGAGAGCGCGAGAGAGCGCGAGAGAGCGCAAGAGAGCGCGAGAGAGAGCGCGAGAGAGCGCGAGAGAGCGCGAGAGAGCGCGAGAGAGCGCGAGAGAGCGCGAGAGAGCGCGAGAGAGCGCGAGAGAGCGCGAGAGAGCGCGAGAGAGAGCGAGAGAGAGAGAGAGAGAGAGAGAGAGAGAGAGAGCGAGCGCGCGAGAGAGAGAGAGAGAGCTAGCGCGCGAGAGAGAGAGAGCGAGCGCGCGAGAGAGAGAGAGCGAGCGCGCGAGAGAGAGAGAGAGAGAGAGAGAGAGAGAGAGAGAGCGCGCGAGAGAGAGAGAGAGAGAGAGAGCGCGAGCGCGCGAGAG